GGTGGGAGGCTGTGCGGCTGGCAAACGACACCCCCTATGGCCTGGCAAATGCTGTGGGGAGCTTAACCTCCAAGCTGTTTACAGGATGGGAGCAGTACTTGGCTGATAGGGTGGCCCGCAAGTAGCAGCAAGTATGTGTAGGGCGTGCGGCATAAGCCTGTGGGGGAGGTTCGGTGCAGGGACTGGCCGGAGTTTGAGGACTTATTTTATAGGCTTGGTGACAGGAGCATCACAATTGCAGCGTACTTTGCGCAACAGGGCCTATATGCCCTCCTGCACGCAGCCAGTACAAGAAGAGAGTATCTGTGATCTTCAAGTCCGGGAGCTTTAGCTGGCGCTGGGGTCTTTCAGCTCGACCGACCGCCAGCCCACTCCAAATTCAGAAAACCCGCTTCATATAGGGACCTAAATACTTACCAATACTACTGTGCGGGTTCCTTGTTGTGATTATTGTAAAATATGCCCCAAAACCCCTATTCGCCCTATTCTAGTTATTAACCCTACACCCTTAACCCTAAACCCTAAAGTAAGGCCCCTATATTAGCCGACTCTCAGGTTTATTCGGTGGATGCTGATAGATTGGCGCGAGTGGCCTCGCAGCTGAAATCTGGCATCGTATGGGAGAACTGCTCGCAGGTCCGTGGGCCCAGAGCTGGGGAGGGGCAGCCCCTAAAGATGATTCACACTAGGTTGGGATATACTTGGCTTTGATAGATCCCCCCTGCCCAACCTTTATTTTTTGGGTTCTTGTCGTTTAGTAGGAACCAGAAAGTTTAACCTTTTTCTTTTGTGGCTTATTGGGGTAGTACGGTTTTCAGGATATAGCAAGAGCTGCGGGACCATGTTCTTCATGTGTCGCAATCATGATGACAGCCTTGTTACGCGGGTTGCGGCTTGGTGAAGCAGACACTCAGTCTCGTGTCCATCCGCCATCGGCCAAACTCATTTCGAGTTGAAGGTTTCGTACGAGGCCTCCTGACCCCGAAACCCCCCAAATCCTCAAAGCATGATGAGCAGTTTAGCAGCCCACTCGAAAGACTGTGAAAAAGAGGGATATGTGGTACCAGAGACCGGCGCGTCTTCACGGCCTATGCAAAGCCAGACTAAACCCTCAGGCACCACGGGATCGCAGGGTCACAAAAACGCTTAGTTGAGGGGCCGTAATGGTTAGGGTTCCGTTAAGGGTCCCTTTCCCGGAATCTTGAGCCTGGCTTGATTTGGGCAGGTCCTCTTTCCGTCCACCCCTTTCGGCGGCAAGAAGGCTTTGGACTCTCCTTTGCTGCATGCTGTTGCGAATAGCAAGACTACAGTACTGGGTTTGAGATCTATCAATAGAGGCTTTGCGGTGCAGCAGGGAGAAGAGCAACTGCAACAGCAACAGCGACGACGAACAAAGGGAACCAAAACACCCAGCATGGTAGATCACAGTTTGCACAAGCCCCCTTTGAATTGCAACTCCAAAACCCTAAGCCCTAAATCCAAAACCCTAAACCCCAAGCCCTGAAGACCGAACCTTCGAATCTTGAATCCCGAAGTCTCAGCATCTTGGGTTGTCCTTTGGGATCTTTTAAGAATCTCCCCTACTATTCTGTAGAGGGCCATAACAGTAGATGATGTAGGGCTTTGGGACATTTTATATGTTCTCTTATTGGGCTTAAGAGGATCTTCTTTACGAAAATAGTAGGGCTTAAAGGACACCTCAGCATCTCACCAGACCAGAGATCTCCTAAACGTGCATCGCAAAAACCCGCAGCGTCAGAGCCCCAGACCCTCCCATAATAGGGGACCTCCATATAGTACCCTAAGCAGTGGGATCCTTATTATAAGGACCCCAAAATAAGGAACCCCCCTACTTTTCGGAAACACCCACATGGGTTGTTGTCGAAATTATGGTCCCTTTTTGGGTACCCGAAATATTAGGTGCAGTATTATGATAAGGACCAAAAAAAGGGACCCTAATTTTGACCATCACCCATATAGCTAGCAGTAGGTCTCATAGTATTCCTTGTAGTAAAGCAGATCTTCAAGCTTTAACATGCCGACGACAATTAGCCATTGTTATAATATACTCCCCAAACCCTATTCCAATAATTAACGCCCCTACATTAGTTCCAAGCTTGTTAGAAACAACGCACCTCGGAAGTTTGTTGATCGGTGCTTACGAATACTTGCGGACCCTTGTGAATTCATCAGCCCTACCTGGACCCCCAAAGTATGTAGAATAATGGCCTTTTTATAGGTGTTGGGCCATTATTCTACCTACTTTGGGGGGTTTCGGTAGTATTCCTTTATACGGGCACCCAGGCTGGGGCTAGTCTGTAACTACATCGCAAGGGCCGAATCGGAGCGAGGCAACATTTTGAACCAAAAGGCCCCCCTGTGAATCCCAAAAAATGTCCGAAACCCTGATCCTTGAAAAGCACTACATACGATACCATACCCCACCATGCCCCAGACCCTGAACCCTAAAACCCTAAACTCCTCGACGCCTTGAAGGGGAAAGCCAGTGGCTTCGGCTTTGAGCAAGGGCTCGCCGGCCTCAAGGAGCCAGGTCCCTAACAATACGTTTTAGATATTACATATTTTGGACTGTAAGTTGTGTGGGGTTATGTTAAAATATACAATGTTTTTTTTGGCAAGATATCAGGCGATGCTTGGGGATCAGATTTGGGTCGGGTGTGGAGCTTTGGTGTGGACTCACGGTTGTCTTTCACGGTGTGGCACTGCCATCGTCACCTTGCTGGTGAGAGAAGTATTCGCGACAGTAGATGGCAATGAACTCCTAGGTGCATTGCCACTCTGCAAATTTAGAGTTCAGAGTAGATGAGCCCTCCGCGCCACGAGGTTCTTGGCGGAAAAGACGGTCGTTGGCACCAGCAGGACTGAGCCCTCAAAGGGTTGCGCTGGACTCCAGACTCTAAGCGCGAAGCCCCAAAGCCAAGCTCCCTATGGGATATGTATATACATATGTGTGTGTATATATATATATTATAGACAGCATTTCCCGTATGAAACTGGTGCTTGCTTCATAGCTGAGGGGTTTCTTAAAAGTTCGCAGCAGCTGAGTTCCGTTACTCAGGGTCTACCGCTGACGGCATTGAATATCGGAGCCCGAGCCGCTATGAGACCTAAAACCTACACGGGTGAATATGGGGGGGGGTCCAAAAATAGGGGACCCTAATGTAGTACCCTGAATGCTAGGATCCTTATTATAAAGACTCCACAATAAGGCACCCCTAATTTCGGAAACTCCCCTATCGGAGCCTCGAGAACAGTTTTGGAGATTCGGCAGCAGGCAGTTTTGACCTAAGCTGCAACAGGCAAAGTTTGTGACAATCAGGTGCCTGTCTCTCTATGTCCCTTGCTGAAGCTATCTTTCGGAAGACACTGAACAATTTCGGGAGAAACCCCTGGGACAGATAGTACAAGCCTACCAGAGCACTCGCAGGCCCAGCTACAACTGGCAGATCTACAAGAAGGCTTGAGCAAAACGCGGCCCAAATTACGGCTGCCTGACACCAGTGCCGTCCTCGAGATGTGAAATGGTGGACACAATAAAAATACTATTTCCAAAATTTCCTTACCTAGTGTAATCATGTTCCTTTGGTTTTGCCGAGGTGCTTTCCGCGCGAGGGCGCGATGTGCAGATGCTGGATCTGTCCGAAAGAACGGCCAAAAGCTTTGGGTTTGGTGTTTAGGCCCGTTTAGGCTTTGGGTTTAGGCTTCTTCGGGTTAAGGGTACTTAGGTCCCGCTTCCTGGAGGCTGGCGAAAGTTCAGAGGGCAACATGACAAAAGGCCCTGCCAGAGTATGTGCCTGATCCCTAAACCCTAAACCCTCTCCTGTTTGGAGCTCAAAAAAACCGTCCTGTTTTACGAGTAGCAGAGCAGATCCAGAGCTGATCTCGATCTTTTGCTTCATGTGCTGTACAGCAGTACGCTGCATCGATCCTCGAACCCGGAACTTGGAGCTCAAAATAATGGGGGCCCTCCAGAACTAGAACAAGATGTTGGTACGATATTCTCCCATAATGAGGGATCTGAAGGAATAGCATTTCCTAAGTATTTAGGCCCCTATATTAAGCTCTAAGGGTGCCAGGATTGCCTGGCAGGGTTGCGTGGAACTGCTGGACTCGCGGCGCGATGGCGCCATGTGCAGGGCGGCAAGCACGTAGGACTAGCCTTACTCGATGCTGCATCGGCGAAGTTACAGAGCCAAGAAAAGATCCAAGTGGGTGGCCTCTGCCAGCCTCGCTGATTCCATTCAGTCTACAAGGTCGCAGACTAGCGTTGTCTTGTATGCTTCCGGCATTTGCTTCAGTCACGTGGGCGCCCTGGCACCCTGCAGAAGAGCCCAGATGTTCGTCATGAGCCCTAAACCCTAAACCCTAAACCCTAAACCCATGCCTGTACTCGTACTGTGCACAGCCATGGCCGAGACCCCCGAGCTCGTGCAGCCACTGGGGCGCCTGCAGGCTGCTCGGGCCTTCCCTTCAGAGCTTCCATCGAACTCTACAAATATGAGGAGACCTGAAATGGGCTCAGGGTTTCAAGTCGCTATTGAAGCAGTTCAGGTTTCAAGCCCGTCTAAGTGGGCAAAAGGTCTACAGGTTGAGTCTTGTGTTTTGAGCGGTAGTCCTCGCATGCAGCTGAGCCTCGTACCGTCCTGGTCTTTCGGTAAAAGGTCCTTCCTCCAAGGTTAGCCGTCTGTGGCTCTGATGCTCAGCGAGCCTCCCGAACATGCCGTCGCCTGCGATTCCCCAGCACCATCTTACTACCGCATCATATTGGAAAAGTTTCCCAGAGCCAACAGCAAGCTGACCATCGAGATGTCAAGCGATGCCAAGCTCTAGCGCTCCTATCGGAAGGCGACAGCACCGGACGCCCGGGTAGCGGACTGAGAGGACCTTTGCGCTCCGCTCCTGTGGTTTTCGTGCTGTCCTGCCCACAGCTGATGCTTGGCCCAAGTCTGAGCTCATAGCTGACTTCCTTTTTCCTCGGGATGGTCGTGCCGACCTTCGAGATTTCCCAGGAACAAACAAGGCGAGCGCCCACTCTGGAAAAGAGAGCCCCATGGTGCACAAAGTGGGCGTACATGACCATCGTGTTGGAGGCCACTGCGTTTGCCGTCGATGAGACTTGTCTAAGAGTCCAAGGTCCGAGCCTTGGACGGGATGATACTCGTGGGTGATGCTTCCTGTGGGAAGGGTCAGTATGAGTTCCTGGACGAAGCAAAACCTTTCAGAAAAACAAAAAGCTCTTCCACGAGCGCTGGATTCTCTCTGCAATGCATCCTGCCCCGTCTGCACACCCGCAAGAGGGGCGGTTCTCACTGTCCTGAACTGTCAAAACTTGAACCGGAGGTAGTCCACAGCCCAAGCTCGCAACCATCTTTTTCGGCTCCGCTCAATTCACCGTGCCTGCAGGTGCTTGCCTGGCTAACAGTTCCTATAGTTTCCTTTCTGACCACGCCCGGGTACCTCGTGTATGTATTTGGATGGCTGCTGCTGGTGGCGATATGTCGGGAAGGCCCAACATGTCCACGCCTACATGGAGGTTCATGGATAGTTATAAGAAGGATAACTATGGCTATACGCTATGTTAGGGGACTTAGAACCCTACTCATAACTACCCATGACCCTCCAAGTAGGGCCTAAGTAGAGTGTTCCCACCCTTGTTTAGACCGGTGGCACAGGAGTGGCGGCCGTGGTCAAGGATCCGATATTGCTGTGCTTCAGGCGCGGTGCCATTCCTTCATGGAGCTTCAGATGCTTCACGATTGCCCTGCGGTTTTTCATAATTGTGTCTCCGCTTGAAGTGTTCAACCCCCACATCAATCACAGCACGACCATTCCTGCCGCTCTGGAGCGTGTCAACAAGGACTTCAAATCTTCCCGGGGTCTAGGCCAAAACTGCTCTGTCGTGCCCGAGTGGCTGCAGCCGATCTGCAAGGAGGGCAGATTCCCTGTCTCCGCTTATACGGAGTGCGTGGAGAAACTACCTTCAAATTTACGTGGCTTCTGCAACGCAAAAGCCTGCACGGTCAATAAATTCGGAGATGGCCCGTTCTACACGGTTATTGTTGGTCCCATGCTTGCCCTGTTCGGCCTGTGCATCTGCTACGCCTTAGAGGCGTGTTTCTACGCCTTGGAGGCGTGCTACCGCTGCTGCAGGAGTTACTTCTGTGACGACGCCCCCAGTTCATCGGATTCGGAGGCCAGGGAAAAGAACAAATCGGCACAGAAAGACAGAGAGAGAGAGAGAGACATGTATGTATGTATGTATGTATGTATGTATCTATTTATGTGTGTATGTATGTGTGTGTGTGTGCCTGCATGCACGTGTGGCTTGGTAGAGTTTGGTATGGTCTGGTCTGTTACGGTATGGTGCGGTACGGTATGATACGTGCGGTACGGTATGGTATGTGATGTAATGTAGTGTAATGTAATGAATCGAAATTATGTGTCTGGGTACACTCGAGCTCACCTGTGATCCGGAATGATCCTGATAGCCTTGCTTTTGGGCGTTCGCACCGGAGGCCCTCCCTCCCTCTCTTTCTTTCTCTCTCTCTCTGTCTCTCTCTCTCTCTGTCTCTCTCTATCTCTCTCATTCTCTTTCTCTCTCTCTCTCTCATTCTCTTTCTCTCTCTCTCTCTCTCTCTCTCTCTCTCTCTCAATCCCTCTCTCTCTCTCTCTCTGTCACTCTCTCTCGCTTTCTCTCGCTCTCTCTGTCTCTGTCTCTGTCACTCTCTCTCTCTCTCTCAATCCCTCTCTCTCTCAATCCCTCTCTCTCTCTCTCTCTTTCTCTCTCTTTCTCTTTGTCACTCTCTCTCTCGCTGTCTCTGTCTCTGTCTCTGTCTCTGTCTCTGTCTCTCTCTCTCTCTCCCTCTCTCTCTCTCTCTCTGTCGTTCTTTCTCTGTCTATCTTTCTGTGTGCCGACCTCTCGCTAGCTATCTATCTAATTGTGGGGAGTCTGTGTCGTTCAGCCCCTTGTAGGGCCTTGGGCACTTTCGGGTTGGCTGATTAAAGCAGTTTGGCAGCTCCGGAACACATGTGGGAGTTTCCGAAAATGAGGGGTAACTTATTTGGGGATCCTGATAATCAGGATCCTACTATTTAAGGTACTATATTCGGGTCCCCTATTTCGGACACTCCCATGTCCCACATCACCCTAAACCCTGAACCTGGTCTTGAGCGGAGCCGAGCCAGCAGGTGGACGATGAGGAAAAGATCGGCCTCATGCAGAGGCTTGCGGGAGCCATTTTGCTGGCTCTGCAGGTTAAGGAGGACGATAGTGAGGTGACCCGCATGGTGAAGAAGATCTGGATAGCCAAAGACATCTTTCTGGTAGCTGCGGATGTCCTTCTGGACTCGAACTGTGTTTTGACTTTCTTCCAGACAGGGCATCACCTTTTCGGTACTGCGGCATTGGCGATCCTTTTGTGGTCCTTGGGCCAGCAGTTGGTCAGCCACAGCCTCCAAGATTTGTACAGCGAGGCAGTTGCCAGCATCGGTGCTGGTATGCTAAGTGACGGGTTTCTACGGATGACACGGACCGAACAGTCTGTGGAAGCACCGCTCAGCTTGGTGCTCCAGGTGTATACATGTCCTTATGTCACGGTTACAAGCACATGGGCGCTGCTGACTTTTGTGCCGTCCATCGTGCTCAGCATTTGCACCATCTCCGAAGCTGTGTTCAAGTTGCTGTATGTTGACATGCTTTCGGTTGTTTTGGCCTCCGGGCAGAGGGATGCGTCGTATGAGCGGGTGGTCCGCGCAACTGATTAGAGGCACGGTGGGCGACTGGATCGAGAGCCCGCAGACTATCCGCTTTACGCAAGAATCGGAGACAACTTCAACTCGGACAAAAGGTTTGTTGACTCGCCTGCGTGAACACTGGGATGATCAGGAGCTTAGCTTGTGACACTCTAGGACAGGTGGTTCCCGCGGACTGACGAAGGGGTGACAAAGTTTCCCCCCTCAATGGTTTCCCTAACTCGGCAGAGAAGTGTCTTGCTTTTTGCAAGCACTCGTCGAGCAAGTGTCCAAGCTCCTGCCGGAATGGGTTGCATGTCTTGAGCTGCTGTCTGCATAAAAGCCACAGAAACGGCAGTTGTTCCAATTGTCGTAAGTCAAGGACCCGAAAAGCAGAAAACAGAGAATCCTAAGCCCTTAGATGGTACCTGCCAGGCAACATCGAACAAAGCGCTGTCGGTTGCCAGAGCCAGAATATAGAGGGATTGCATTTGATGTTGCACTGGGTCATCGATCCGTTTTAGGAGGTTTGTCGGGCCGGATGGATGGATCCTGCCACTCGTAGCATACCGGATAGCGCAGTCTTTCCAAGTTCATAGCTCTCTGTATTCTGTAGCCAATATGTAAATGGATGCCTAAGCTATCTTCTTGCGACATTTTAGATAACGTGAAAATGCGACGAATCAGCAGCACCTTCGTCGCAAACAGGCAGCAGATAAGGAGACCAGTCCTAACAGAAGAATCATCTGGACAAAGCGCTGCTTCCCACGCAGAGTTTCAACATACTCCACTTCTCCAACAGCACTGCGGTTGGGTAGACGAGAGAGAGAGAGAGAGAGAGTCTGTGCTTGTGTGTGAGAGGTTAACTAGACCCACTGAGGTTTTAAGAGGGAGAGAGAGAGCGAGAGAGAGAGAGAGAGAGTCTGTGTGTGTGTGTGACAGGTGAACTTCATGCATTTCAGCTTTGCACAAGCTCAAACAGTACGGGGAGCAGGTCGCTTCGGAAGTCTTTTTGAGGGTTTCGTGTCTTCGCCTTAACGAATGGATACCAGCCATGTCTCCATTTACGTCACTGGCTTTGGGCCTTTCATGGGAGTGGAAGACAATCCTTCCTCGGTGCTCTGTGAGACGTTGCAAAAATATGTGCAGGAAGGCATCCCCCCAGAGAATGTCCCGGGCGACGTCTTGCGAGACTTCGAAGCTTCCGATATTTCCCTGCTAGGTCTACGGGCTCTTGATGTGGCCGCTCAGACCTGTCAGACGGAAGTGCCTGAAATTCACAGGTCTCTTCGCGAAAAGAAGGAGGCCTTTCCCAAGACAGAAACTGCTGTGGTGCACTTGGGTGTTGCTGGTAATCGCAAACATATCAGCCTTGAATGCCGTGGCGTGAACGAGGCGAATTTTCGTGTTCCTGACGTTTTGGGCTGGCAGTGCTGTGGAGAGCCAGTTATCGACGACTCCCCTCCTGTGCTCTATTGCTCCTTGCGACTTCCAGAAATACTTGCAGAGATGCATGACAAGGGCGTGAACTGCGAGATTTCGACGGATGCAGGCCGGTATGTCTGCAACTACATATTTTTTCAGTCTTTGCATCTGGCACCACACGGAACTCCTGTCCTCTTTGTTCACGTGCCGCCCTTCGAAGACATGGTCCAGGAGGTTCAGGCCGGACTCTCAGGCTGATTCAAGTCTTACTTTAGGGTTCTTTAGGTGTTGGGGTTTAGGGTTTTGTTTTTTGTTCGGTTTTGAGTAGGGTTTAGGGTTTTGAGGTCACAGCCTTGCTGTGCCTCTTCGTCGCCATTGCCCGCCAGCTTCGGGGAGCCGCTCCCTCTGTCCCGGCACCCTCCGCCCGGCCACTGGGGTGACGCATTCTGAGCGACTTTGTCATATATATATATATATATATACATATATGTATATATATATATATACATATATATGTATATATACATACATGTATATATATATATATATATGTATATGCACACCTCGGTACAGGTATGTGTGTATATACATATATATATATATACATATACCAGAATGAACACATGTGCTTATGCATGTATATATACCTTAGAATTACTGGTGCGTACCGTGGATTTCTAGATACATACATATATA